TTAAACCTGCTTTGCTGCAACTTCAAGCTATTGGTCCATGTCCTACTCTGCAGCAAGAGAGCAAAGGTGCTTTTTCTCCTCTTTACAGCAGCCCTTTACGTATTTGAAGACTGCTGTTGAGTCCCCTCTTAAGCACCTTTTCTGAAAGCTGAACATGGCCGGATCCTTCTTCCTCTCCTCTATGCCTTGCCTTCCAAGACTTTTATCATGTTTGTCTCCTGCCTCTGGACCCTCTCCAGCTTCTCCACGTCCTTTTTAAAATGTGGAGCCCAGGACTGCATGCAATATCAAATGAGGCCTAACAAACCAGTGCCGAATAAAGAGGCACTATCACCTCCCATGTCTTGCACTTAATGCTTCTATTGATGCATCCCTAAATTGCATGTGCCTTTTGTGCAGCTGCACACGCATGCTCAGTGTGTGATCTATCAAGACGTCCAGTTCCTTCTCCGTAGTGCTGCCATCCTGCCCGGGGTCACCCACTTTGCATTTGTGTTTCTGATGATTCCTCCGGAGGTGCAGCACCTTGCATTTGTCAGCACTGAACTTCATCCCGTCAGCTCCTGCCCAGCTTTCTCTGTGCTCTAGACCCATTGATCATAACGAGAGCCGTGCTCAGCGCTCACGTGGCATGGAAACACCTGGGTCTTGTCTACACACACGCTTCCAGTGCTGCTGCAGCCGGAGGAGCTCTGCCGTCGGGGAGATGCAGAGCTCGTGCCGGCCTGCCCAGCCACGATTGGGAGCCGTGGAACTTAACTGGAGATTTTGCAGGCAGTATGAAAAGGGCCTGGGAGTTCGACTGCTCTGCTAGAGAGAGGGTGGGACGTTGTGGCACCACCCCAAGCTGGCAACAGAACAGGGCACCCAGCGAGGGCAGATTAACCAGCCTGGATCACTTTCCACTGCAGAATCAGAATCAAATCCCAATTTCCATGGTGATTGTTACTCAGTTTCTCACAACACACCCCAGCCTTGGTGGCTCCGGTCCAGGACCTTAAGAGTTGCACAACTGCACTGAGCCAAGACCTTCCACTCTTACCCAACCCAGCATGATACTCGCGGCAACCCAGTGCGTGCGTCTACGCATGCACTGTAATGCACAGTAGCCTATTTTACTGCGCATTAAAGTGGCATGTTAAAAAGTGTTATTAAGCTAATGTGCAATAAAATAGGCTACTGGGCACTAAGCGCCACCTAAAAAGCATGCGCTTGTGCTACAGTGCATTAAAGCAGCTGCACGTGTATCAATTCAGTACCTCACATTGGAAGTACTACATTTAATGTGCATTAGGAAAAGTGCATGAATGCATGTGTAGATGTGGCCAGCATAACCCTAGCAGCACCCTTCCTCCTGCCATTATTTCCAATGCTGTAGCAGCCACCTTGGCAGAGGCGGTCCCTGCCTCAGTGAATTCACAGCCAAAGCCCAAACAGGCGTTGCACGCCCATGGGATGGCAGCCCCGGGAGTCGAACCAGACCACTTGACGCCAGTCTAGGGCCTCAGCTGCTACCTGGCTGCCTGGGCCCTCGCAGAGTAGGTGTGTCTTGAGGAAAGCAGCTGGCACCCGCTGGGGCTGGGGGCAGAGGACAAGCAGGCAGGTGGAGCTGGCATCCTGGGAAGAACAGGACGGGTAACCCAGTTAGGGTGAGAGGATGCCAGCTCCTCTCCCTGGCCCCAGGCCTGGCTCACACTGCAGTTTCATGAGGGAAGTTGCCTTTTGTCGTCCACACCCGAGTTTCCACATCAGCCGGCACAGCCCACCAAGTCCAACCAGCTCCGCACCCAACGCGAGCCCCCGGCTGATGCCCTCGCTCAGGCTGCATAGAGTCTCCTTCCTCCCAGACCTGCCGCTCAGCACCTCAGGGTGCTGCCCAGCACCGCAGGAGCTGCCCACCAGCGAGACGTGCATCCCCACACCCCTCCAGGATGCTGAGTCCCCCAGGGTCACACGATGGTGACGGAGGAGCGT